TTTTAAACAGAATTTTGATCATACTGTGTATTCAGTTTCAAATCTTAATATTTTCCCCCAATGGTATATTATGAGCATTTTATAACGCCATTAGATTTTTTATTTCAATGGAGATATAAAATTATACCTTGACTTAGTTATCGCTCGATTAACTGCTTATTTGAACTGTTTTGAGTTTTTCACTTTTATAAATAGTGCTGCAATTGACCAACTTTGCAGATTTCCCCCCCAAAAAAAGAACAAAACACCTGGTCATATTACTCGAAGTAGCATTGCTGGCTCATGAAATGGATGCCTTTGTAAATGCTTGACGAACATTACAACTGCTTCCAGAGGAGTTGTAGCCATCCGAGTTTGCCCTAGAGCCCTCACCAACACGGAAATCACCCTTCTGTGATTTGAAAAATGGTATCCCTTCATCATAATTTACATTTTAAAAACAATTTTCAGGGAAGCTGAATGTCTTTAAAGTATCTGGCTAGTTACATTTCTTCTCTGAATGGTGACTTTTTGTGTCCCTTTCTCTGTTTCCTTTTAGGGAATGGCATTGTTTCTACCAAACGTTTTTAAGTGCTCTTTACCTGACGTACTTAAAAGACTCATCTTTTTCTTTCTTTTTTGCATGTTTGTTACTTTCTATTATGTATTAGGTGATGGTTTACAGAGCAGAATAAAATATGTATCTCATTGGAAATGTTTTTCCACTTTGTCGGCCTTTCCATTTTGTTGATGAGTTTTTCAAAGAATAGAAGCACCACCTTGTTTAGGCAGTCAACCCTATTAGTCTCCCCTTGTGCCTAGGAAGCCCTAACCCACCTAGAAATTACTTAGTCACTCGTATTTTATTGTAGCTTTGTTTTGTTTTTGAATGCTTCATTGATTTTCTTGAAGAGTGGCTGTTACTGTTTTGCATTGAACTCTTAAATCCATCTGAAGTGGATTTATGTGTACCACCCAAACTCAACATCGTTTTTGATATTTTTGTCCCCATAATACTTGATTGCTTGCTGAACAGTGATAATGTTTTGATTAAGAAAGCCAATGAATCTTCAGTTTAGCCAATAGTGAGGTTCAACCTTTTTCCAACTTGACCTTCACTCAATTTCTTTAGTTGTTTTTTCTTAGCTCATAGTTGTAAAAAAGTGAATTATAGTCCTTAACAACCCTCTTTAGAAAGACTTGCGCACACACACACACACACACACACACACAAAGAAACACCTGCACATTCCAGCTCCTTTCTCCATACCTAGAAAGGCAGACTAGCCTAGAGGAATTAAGGAATCAGACAATATAGGCTTTTCGGAAAAACATAGGATTTAGGAATAGCTAGATGCTGTTCAACAAAGAGGCATGGTGGCATAGTGGCTTATGCATTGGAGTACTAACCACAAGGTCAGCAGTTTGAAACCACCAGCCACTTTGTAGGAGAAAGGGGAGGCTTTCTACTCCTGTCAAGATTTATAGTTTCAGAAACCCAAGGGAAGCAGTTCTACCCTATGCTCTAAGTGTGGCTTTGAGTCAAGATCGACTCAATGGCAGTGAGTTTGGTTTTTGGTTTTGGAGATGCTGTTCATGGCAACCCTAAATGTCACATGGGGTCATCATGAGTCAGAAGCAACCAGATAGCAACTGCTTTTAATTTTTTTTTAGAGTTGTTGTTGGTGTTTTTAGCTTCTGTTTGTCCAATCCAAGTTCTATGGCCTACCAATTACCATATATACGCGAATATCAGCTGAGGCACCTAATTTTACCAAAAAACTGCATTAAAAATGTGCTGAAAAACTCAGCTTATATATAAGTATATATGGAAGGTGCGTTTAGGGAAGTTATAAAACCTTGCTGAGTTGCTTAGTGGGTTGGGTTACTGCTAACCACAAGGCCAGTGGTTCGAACCCAAAGGGGTAGCTGTACTCTGTCCTGTAGAGTAGAGTCACTAAGAGTATCAACTCGATGGTAGTGGATTTGAATATGAGGTTAATGATTCCTTCCACACTACGTTGTGGAGAGATTGAAATAACATGTAAAGATCCTAAACCCCGGCTTGGCAAGCTGTAAGTGCCTAACCATAACATAGGTTCATTTCTTTCCCTGTTCACTTACTGCTCAGCTGGGTTACCATAGGCCAAAAAAAAATGTAACCGGCCACCATTTGAACTATAAAATGGTGAAGATAATGCCTTGCTAACTTAGAGTAGCCCTTTAGCCCTAAGGGCCAAAGGAGATTCAAACGCTTCCATTTCTTTTCCAAAATTGAAACCACAACTGTGTGAAGTATTGTTATTGACAGTATGAATTGAGGCTTATCTAAATTCTAACCTGGAGTCAGAATTTGGGGAAACGACTTTTAATTCCATCAGATAAGAAAGTTGTTCTTTCTTGGGCTGGCTGGCATTCAGAGAGATCCTTTCTCTTCTAGTCAGCCCAGCACTATAAGGCGTTTGAGCTGATTTTTAAACTCTCTAAACAATGTTCCTCACGTAAATTGATTTTTCCTTTTCTGATAAAATAACTTTACAGTTATACCACTGCCTAGTAGTGTGCACTTTAGATTATCTTGCAGGCAATCCTAACCATGATTAATGATCTTTATGGTCCCGATTTCAGACACTTAGCCTGTGATGAGGAGAGAGTTGAAGAAGCGAAGCTGCTGGTGTCCCATGGAGCAAGTATTTACATTGAGAATAAAGAAGAAAAGACACCCCTGCAAGTGGCCAAAGGCGGCTTGGGCTTGATACTCAAGAGAATGGTGGAAGGTTAAGCAGCCTGGATTTTTTTCTAGTCATTTTATTGGGGGCTCTTGAACAGCTCTTATAACAGTCTATACACCAATTGTACAAATGTTACTATTATCATTTTCTGTTTGAGCCATTGGTATTAGCTCCTCTTTTTCCCTCCTATCCTTATGAACCCTTGATAAATTATAAATGATTATTGTTTTCATATCTTAACTTACCACTATATTCCTCCACCCACGTTTCTGTTTTTCCCCTTGGGGGGGGGGGGTTCTTTGTCAATCATTGCAATCATTCCTCCTTTTCTCCCCCTACCTTCTTGGTATCATTACTCCCAGTTCTGTTGCTGAGGGATTTATGTGTCCTGGATTCCATGTGTCGAGAGCTCTTGTCTGTACCAGTGTACATGCTCCAGTCTAGCTGGATTTGTACGGCGGAGCTCGAGTCATGCTATTGGGGGTTGAGGAACCCTCAAAGAACCAGAGGAGTATTTTGTATTTTGTCAGTGCCATATTGCACTCTGGCTGATTCATCCTTTTCCTCGTGACCCTTCTGTGAGAGGATGTCCATTTATCTACAAATGGGTTTTGGCTCTTTTGAAGCCTTATAACCTGATTCCGTCAACACCTTTTTTAAGCAGCTTGAAGTTATTTTTGTGCGTTTTGTGATTTTTTGCCCTCCAGTGTTCTGGAAACTAATGAGTGATGTTTCCTTGCCTTCAGAGTCTTAGAAATATTGAATCTTGTTCCTGTTGTTAAGAACTTACAACCTGCTTTCCAGGCATTGAATAACTGTTGGAATTATTCTAATGTTGCATATGACCGTATATTGAGCTTCGGTCCATCTTGAGCTGTTGTGGGTTTCATCACCCACCCATGTACCCTCTGTCTTCCACCCGAGGCACATCACCACCAGTATTGGCAGGGGGCCAATGATTATTCTGCCAAATGTTTTGAGGTGGATGCTAGAATGTTCCTATACAAATTGAAGCACATCCTAACTTGTTTTACAAGCTCACCAAGGCCTGTGCCAAACTGTTGTTTTTTTTCCAACAGTAAAGTTTAATTTATTTTTGTGGTAGGAGGAATATTGATATCTATCTATCTATATATTTTTTTATTAATCATTTTATTGGGGGGCTCTTAGACGTCTGCTAACAATCCATAATTCAGTTGTACTAAGCACACTTGTACATATGTTGCCATCATCATTTCCAAAACATTTTCTTCCTACTTGAGCCCTTGGTATCAGATCCTCTTTTGTCCCCTCCCACCCTCGCGAATCCTTGATCAGTTATATATTATGATTATTTCATATCTTACATCATCTCTTTTCTCCCTTCACCCACATTTCTATTGTTCATCCCCCTGGTAGGGGGTATATTATATATCTAACCTTGTGATCGTTTCCCCCTGATTTCCCGCCCCCTTCCCCTACCCTCATAGAATCGCTACTCCCACACCTGTTCCTGAGGGGTTTCTCTGTCCTGGAATCCCTGTGTTGAGAGCGCTTATCTGTGCCAGCTATACTGCACCCTGGCTGACTGGCCCCTTTCTTGTGACCCTTCTGTGACTAGATGCCCAATTATCTACAGATGGTCTTTGGGTCTCCCCGCCGACCCCTCTCGTTCACATCAGTATAGTTGTTTGCTTTGGATCTATTGATAATGTTTTTGTGGACCAAATTTTGAGGTGGAGGGCATGTCATCCAAGTTTTGTATTCATGAACACTAAAATACAATAAAACCATGAAAAATGAATAGCCTGCATGCCCATGTTATCTTTTTTAATGAGCTATTTTCCTCCAAAATAAAAAAGGACATTTTAAAGTAGACCTATAACAAGCCATCCTTGATTGAAAAGATTATCAATCTTCTTCAGTTGGTATGTAACAGAAAAAAATATTTTGATTTGTATTTTGGGCAGGGAGGGAAATGTTGAGAAAATACGAAGGGGCCTTAAAAAGCCCGTGGGATCATGGAATTACAGATAGTGGGGTTTTTCCTGGAATATTGTGAAGCCCCGCAAACCAATTTCTTTTTTCAAATGAAGACACCCACTTAAGCCTTCATACACTTTGGAAAGACATTTCGGTTTAGGGTAGCTTTAGAATCAAAATAGGTGAAGCATGAGCTGCAGCTAAATAAGCATCGTCATCTTGTGAGGTGCTAACTAGGTCTGGAGCAAAGGAAATTAATAAATGTAAATTTGAGATCCATTTCGGGAAGTAGGAAGTATCTTAATGATTACTTGGCCTCAGATTGAATGAGCTCCAAGTGACTTCAAATGACTATGTTTTTAACATTTCGTTTCATGCTGCAAATAATTGCTTGGAATAAGTGATCCAAGGGAGCCTACAAGCGTGTGCACTAATTTGGACTCCAGACCTAAAGTGAGTTTTGTAAACATAAACTGGGGGTGGCTGAGACACAAACCCTTTTTACAAAGAAATTAGGAGTGCTGATCTGTACAAATCATCAGGGCAAGTAACTTGATGGAATTCAACTTGGTTTCTTTAATAATTCTGGGTACAGGATCAAGGCCGGGGAAAGTCATTTGCCTCTCATTGTTTAGCCTGATCCACAAAATTGTGCCTAATAAGGGCCAGCAGGAATGAAAACATTTCATAAATAAGACATTTCCTCTTCATAAATATTGTCCGAGCAAATGGGATGTGTGGGCGAAAAGGAAAGCTCATCCTAGTTCATGAGTAAACAGGACAAATGTGGAACCGAGCCTCGGGGACGCTGCACAGCTATTGACATTTTAAATCACTGTTTTACACAGACTAAGGATACTATGACTTTGGATACTGATCAAATTGTTACCTGTTCTCTGGAGAAACCTGATGGGGATGAAGCTAATTCATATTGTTGTGGACCAAATTTTGAGGTGGGGATGAAGCTAATTCAAAGGTAGCAAGTTTTACAGTTCTTTCCAACATGCACTCTGAAGACAGGTGACCATTGTAAATCTGAGCTGTGCCCACAAGATGGAAGAAATAGGTACATGGCAATGGTCTTTAGCATCTTTTGCAGATTACCCACAATTTCCATAAGAGTCTATGACATTCTGGGTCAATCTACATTTTATACTACATAGCTGTGACAGAGTTGAGCTGTCCATGTAACCTGTTTTGTTTTCCCAGTTTGCCAACGACGGTGACTTACATGGCGGTCTGCAGCTTCTTGTTTCCAAACCTGAATAGCATGAAGTGCCGTGCCCCCTTCGAGGATATAGCTAGATCCCCTTTCACGGTTTCATAGATCATCTAAAGTTCTGTTCAGGGACTTGTCTGTGCCTTTTTCTGGGACAAGGATTTAGTAGCTTTAATCAAATTCTCAAAAGAATGTGACTCGCATAATAAAACCTCTTAAAACTCAACAGGACGAAAAACTCTGGATCAGTTGTCCATATCTGTCAGTATCGACTCCATGGCAGTGGTTGTTTTGATATCCTTTTTTTAAAAATCATTTTATTGGGCGCTCATATAACTCATCACAATCCACACATACATCCAGTGTGTCAAGCGCATTTGTACATTCGTTGCCATCATTCTCAAAACATCTGCTTTCTCCTTGAGCCCTTGTTATCAGCTCATTTTTTCCCTCCCTCCCCGCTCCCCCCCTCGTGAACCCTTGATAATTTATAAATTATTTTGTCATGTCTTACACCATCCCGACATCTCCCTTCACCCACTTTTCTGTTTCCTGTTCCTATCAGTACCAGTGTACATCCTCTGGTCTAGCCAGATTTATAAGGGAGAATTGGGGTCATGAGAGTAAGTGGGTGGGAGGAAGCATTAAAAAACTAGAGGAAAGTTGGATGTTTCATCATTGTTACACTGCATTCTGACTGGCTCATCTCCTCCCCGTGACCCTTCTGTAAGGGGATGTCCAGTTGTTGATAACCCTTTAAGAAGGCAGCATCCATCTCCATTGTACAGGTGACAAAACACCCGAGCTAGTTAAGAGGGAACAACCAGTATTAAGAATTTGCTTTCCTGGAACTGAACCTATTTTGGCCTCTTAATAACTGGACTAAACAGAAGGTCCCCTGGCATTTTCAAAATAACTTGTTACACCCACTCTGGTCCTTTCATCTTTAAATTGGCTTATGGTTGGATTTTTGGTTTCTGGGTTCCTGAGTCAGACTTGACTCAATGGCACTGGGGTGGAAGCCTCAAGCATCTCAGGATTCTTGGTTTATTGTGCTATTAAGCTAAAGCTTCCAAGACAAGTGGGACTGTTGAGTATTGACTGGTTTGAACCTTTTATAAACCTCAAACCTGTTTTCCTTTATGTACATATTTAAAATAAGCTCTTATTACGAAAACATGGACTTGTTCCATTTAAAATTAACAGCTTGATGCAGCTATAAGAGCATTGCACTGGGAATCAGGAAAAGGAGGGATCTAGTCTTGACTTTGTGCTATGGCAAACTGTTTTCTTCGCTCCAGGTCTCTCCTCTGGGGCCTGGGTAGGGATACATAAGAATGACTACATTCACCTCCTACCTCACCCACTTAGATAATTTTTGTCATCTCCCACCTCCATGTTGATCAGGGCTGGGGCTGGACTTGATCTCAAAGCTTGTTTTATCTTTGAATGTCTCGCTAAATGTTCCTTAAAAGGAGTTAGACATAGGCATAGTTATGCGATGTAAGAGTATAGAATAGTGGTTTCCTCCTCTGCAGTAACATGTTTGTCAATAGCGCACAAGAACTAGGCATAGTTATCAATGTTGTATAAGCATCAAGAGCTAGCTCTTATTTTACTCCCTGGTTTTTTTTTGATCCGCACTTATAGCAGGGGCCTGGTTCATAGTAGCCAGACGAGAAAAGCCTAATGGGTTCTGAAATTAATGGGTTTGGGGAGAGAAATCTACACGATGTCAGTGGAGTTTGGTGGTTTGGTTTTTTAAGGAACCAACAACCAAAAGGCTGTTCGGAAATCAGCTAAAGCAGAAACCTTTATTGGTTTCTGTATTTTAAATTTTGTATTTTGCGTTGGTTTCTGGTTTATTTTGTATGTTTGGGAATTCTCTTTGCTGTTGAGAAGGAAACGGTTAAGAATCCCAAAGCCAGTTGAGGGTTAAGTTAGGACTACTAAATATAAATATAAAAGTTAAATATTAACTGGGTTACTGTTGCTTCCTATTGGAGTCAGTTCCAGTGCTAAAGGCCCTAGGGCAAAACAGAGCAGCAAGTCCTCTCTGAATCAGAATTCTGCTGAAATAGTTTGGTTCAAGCTCAGCTAATTAGGATATTGGGATAATGGCCTAGTTCATTATTTTCTAATCCATTCCTGTCAGATTCACTGTTGATTCCAGCTCAGTTTGTCCGGGCTATCAAGATCATTTTCAATTATGATTCTATCATACAGCATAGTAGCCACCTCCATCCGCCCTTCCCACACACACACCAGAAACACGTCATCCACAAATTTAAGTACATACTCTGATTCCCTCTATTTAAAAGCGCCCTCCCCCTACCACCCATTCCCCCCTACCCCAAAAGGGCAAAGCTAGTCATCTCTATTGAAAAGCAGATCAGTGATTGTCTTTATCCAGGCTGGTGGTGGGATTGATTTTGATTGCACAAAAGGGGCACGAGGGAGCATGGTGGGATGGTGGCAATGGGTATCTAGATCATGGTGGTTGAACTCAGTGTGCTTACATCTATTAAAACTCATCCAAGTTGTACATATGATATGGGGGCCGAGGTTTTTGGGTATCTAAATTACACCTTAATAAAGTTGTTTCTAAAAAGATTCAACTCAGGAGTCATGAACATGAATTTTATTTATTGAGCCTTAATATGAAACTGCTTGTTTACACAAACAAGAAAGTGAATGTGATGGGGGGGGGGTGGTCAACCAAAAAATCTTTTAATGGGTGAAGATGAGGTTCTTTCAATGCATTTTAGTGACTTCAGCATGTATATAAGGAACATGAAATGTAGCAGATTTGTTCATTGGCATTGTCTAGAGCAGATCTTAATTCATCTAGAACATTTTCCTGATCTGGTCCTTCCAAAGTGGATTGCATTAGACACAATGATAATGTTATCTTCTCTTGAAGTGTCAAAGGTGTGTGTGTGTGTGTGTGTATACATTTATACTAGATACATATATATGTATGCATATTTTCCCTAGTCTGTGAGAGAATGCCGATGCATTCGCCTAGTGTTCAATTTAAAAATGGTTAGGGTAACCCTGACCGCTAAATATGGAAACAATATTGAATCTATTTGATGATACCTTGTCAAATGTCCATGTGAAGTGTCCATGGTGAAGAAAGAGTAGCCCAAATTGGAGAAGTCTGGAATATATTGCCAAGCACGGTTGCAAACCTTTTAACCGTCAAATTACTCACCCACTTGTCAAGTTAGTGTTCTTAATACTGATAATGCAGGAACCTTTGAATTTATTATTTGGTATATTTTGAACACAATTAAAAGAAAATGGTTTAGAATGGAGGGAGGTGGGGGTGGGTTGCTTATGCCAACTGAATTCCAGTCGTGGGTTCCTTAGCAACTCACCCTATCTTAAAGCACAGGCCTAATCTCCTCCTCGCAGAGGGGCTCCTCCACACAGAGGGGCTCAATGACAACCACAGGCTCCAGCTCCAGCACCACCTCGGGCTCGGGCTCAGCCTCGGGCTCGGGCTCGGGCTCGGGCTCGGGCTCGGGCTCGGGCTCATGGTTGGACTCCAGCTCAGGATCGGGCTCAGGGTCGGACTCGGGCTCAGGCTCAGGGTCGGACTCAGGCTCAGGGTCGGAGTCGGGCTCAGGGTCAGACTCGAGCTCGGGCTTGGGCTCGGGCTTATGGTCAGGCTCGGACTCAGGCTTAGGCTCAGGGTTGGACTCAGGCTCAGGGTTGGGATTGTGCTCGGGCTCTGGCTCCGGCACTGGCACCGGCTCAAGGATTAGCACAGGTTTAGGGCCCACATCAGACTCCTGGGTAAGCTGCAGCGTGGCAGGCTTACGCTCTCGCTCCAGGACAATTTCACGGCTAGATACAAGGATGGGAGGTGGCAGCGCAGCTTCTATCTGGATGGCTTCCTCCTGTGGCATCATCTCATAATCCATACTTGGGTTTATCTTGGTCATCGGTCTGCAGCAAAAAAGTCCCAGGAAGAGCAAGTTAGAAGATGCAACTTTTCCAGTTTGTTCATGTCCGAACATTGGCTCTGTAGTTTCAATGCCCATAGGTCACAGACAGTGACTGCAAATATTCTGACCCACTGGCAGAGCATGTATCTCCATTTTAGGTTCAGCAAAATTAGATCCCTTCAATCTCATAAGACTTCAAGAGGGACAGATCAGTGTTTGAAGGGTGGAAAATTTGACAGGATGAACGGGCCTCAGGATCTCAGAAGGTCTTTGAGGGTCAGATGCATATAGCTGTGCTGCATCTCTGTATTGCCCACTCTAGCATGATACTTGGTGCCTAGTTGGCAGGCATCTTTGGACCCTAGTCACTTTGCTTTTGTGGAGTCCTTCCTCCAAGAAAAAACAATTCAATTTTATGACTGCAGGCATGAAGGTGACTGGAGTAATATAATGTATAGGCTATGAATACAAATAATGAATTATATATATCAACAAAGTATACTGCTATATTAACATATAGTAAAACATTTTAATCAGCTAAACAACTTAGCTTTCTCTTCTGACTTTAAAGAAAACATTTTCATGAGCCCCTAAAATGTATCATGGATCACCATACGCTGTCTCCTCAGCCTTAATGCATAAGTCAGCGCTGGGTGTGGGGTCAGACAAAGTAGGTTTTGATTCCAACTTTATTTAGTATCTTAGGAGGCAGCTTTGGGCAGATGACTTCACCTGTCTAAGCCTCAGATTCCTATAACATGAGGATACACATGCTGACCTTTTAGGAGTTGCGATGGAGTTGTATGCAAAGGAATATGAATACTGCCCAACAGACTGCCGGGTGCACAATAAATGATGCGTGGGGAAGAGCTACCTCCTCAAAATACAGTCAACTTTCATGACATGGTTGGAGCAAAGCTTTGGGGACCTTAATTTACTGATGTGGAAAGGACTCAACATGAGGAGAAACCATTACCAATAACCATTAAAAATAGGAACATGGAATAGATAAGTATGACCAGAGAAATTGTGGCACAATGTCAAGGAGGTCATACATGAGAACAAACGAGTCATTAAACGACAGCAAAGAAAGGACCCAAAAGGACATCAGCAGAGGAGCAAAATAGCTACAGCTAATGGAATAAATTATGCAGTAAATAGGCTAAATGAAAGATTTCAAAAGGCAACTCAAAAAAACAAAATAGTGCAAAGACCTGAAGTTAGAAAACCAAACGGCAAGAACATGCTTGAAATTTCTCAAGCTTCCAGTTGCCCTATTGAGGGATTCTCTATACAAAATGAGCATTAAAAGAAAATGGGAGGAGTACACAGTCTTTATACCAAACAGTTGCACTGATGGCACTGGCAGAA